TGAATCCAATCTGTGATGACGAGACGAACTGCTTGCATATGGTAGGGACAGATAAAATTAAAAGATTGAAATGTCATAGAGATCCCTAGAACCTCCCAAAACAATGCAATGCATTAATTGTTTCATGATTCTCATCTCCACAATAAAAATGATCATTCAGGGACACTGTTTCCTCCACCAAAAGTTGCAAGCGTGTAAAACATGAGAAAAGAAATGAAATAATACCTGTAGGAAACGGAGCCAGAATGGTATCACAGCAACAGCAAAATAAAGAACATTATAAACACCATGACCATGACATTTGTTTTGCCATAGCGAGAATTCTCCCAAACCATAGTAGCAAATATAAAGGTCAAGACTCCTTATTTGTACCTAAGATCAAATGATTTTTCGATTTAGTTAATCATTGTCATTTTTACTTTGATAAAGTATGTAAATACTATGTGAAACCTGGCTGGTAAGATGATCGGCCAAGAAAAAATCTGGAAGTGTAACCTGCATAGAGACAAACTAAAATGATATCAAGACTATATTACTTGTCACATCCACATATTGTTATTTTGATTTTCTCCATTTCATTACCATGTAAAGAGGTGCACAAAGTCAGTGAAATAAGGACTTAATAAAGAAGAATCGAGTTGACCGATATATGATGTCAAAAGGACAAAACATTATGACCTGAACAATCTGCAACGTCAAAGAGAAATCATATGACTTAAATTGAGCAAGTATAAAGTTGGTAACGAGTCACTTCCTGTTTAGCAGCAATATCAGAATCGAAAACTACAGCTACTTCTAAAATCTTACTGCAACCTAGCCCAAAGGGAAAAGTTCAGTTAATGTCTTGTAATTCTGAGTTTTTGAGCCTAAATCCAAGTGCAAGTTTCCCAGGAAACAAGTTAATGCAAATACAGCAAGACCTGTACTGAGGAGGAAAACTTCTCTATAGCCCAACTCAGTTCCTTGCTTGAAACCAAAGATAAATGGATAGTTGATTCGATAACGCCTCCAAGGTATATATCAGCTGCATATGTGAGCATATACAGGACAGAATATGCAAAAAAACTGCAAAGAAATTAAAGTAGCTCTTAGTGTATATATGTGGGCTAAAATGAATTCCAAAATTAATGAACAGAAATTTCAGAAAACTCCATAATTAGTTGCCTGTAAAGTGGGAAAATGTTAACCATGTAGGAGGAACCCTCCTTATCCATGTGATTCCTTTTTTCTATTCTTAAAACAACAGCAACGAGTAATGCAATTGAAAAACCAGAAAAGAAGCCAGAAGACAACAAGACAACAACAGTTAATAGATGAAGGTTTTAAATTTGGCTTTGCATTTTAAATACCTTAAAAAAGAATTTCTTGGTATGGCAAATTAAGCAGTAAGTTAAAACTTACCAGAATAGAATCTGACACTGTGCTTCTCTTTTTATGTTTTGGTCTCAATGATTTCATGCCTTCTCATATATTTGAATTTGAAAAATGCTTGATGAAGGTAACTTCAACCCTTTCCAACGGATTATTTACCTAGAAAAAAACATAGCTAGTCAGTTAATAGGAAAATTTACTTAAGGTAGATAGATGACATATGTAAGAATCAACTGCTTGTTTTCAATTCTCTATTCATATATGGACCTTATTTTGCAAATAAATAGGACTTAACGTGCTGACTGAGTAACCAATTAAAGGACTAAAATTCACACTAGTCTTGTTGGCTTGAACAGAGTTTCATACTATTAAAATCAATGCTTCCATTCAAGGCAAATAAATGATGATAGAGGCTACAAGTAAGAGCTTTGCTGGTCAAACATATGACTTTCTCATATCCTGTTAGGCTATATTTGAGAGGTTCTAATATATGATAATTTTATCAGACTTGAATTCAATGAATGATTTGAAATTATAAGTCAGGAGGAGGCCAAGATGGTCTAGACAACTTGTAGCAATTTTGTCTAAGGGTGTATTTATGATTTTTGTTAATGAAGAATGAAGCATGAAAAAAATGTGGCTCACTAACATATATTGTAATAATAAGGTAAAATGTTCTAGTAACTGGGACAAAACCTCATCACAACTGCCAATAAGAGTTTTCCACCATTTTCATGTATGATCTTGCTGCCCTTCTTGATGTAATCTGCAGTGATGCAGAGTAAGAAACAAGTGACAGATTGAGATAAAATTGAAGTGCCATTCTTTCTGCTTCTAAATGTCATAAATGCAACCTGGATATCTGTAGAAGCATTTGACTTCTGATTTCATGATCCTGGATAATGCTGAGAGATTCATGAAACTGGTTCGACCATATGACAAGACACATTTCAATGACTAAAAGAAAAAACATCTACATGATATATAGTAAATTAACACATAGTTTAGCTGTTTATCACCTATAGTGCTTTAGAAGCCGAAGCTTCTGGTAGAATTTAATAAACACCATTCTCAGCCTTTCTTCAACTTTCCTCAGCTCATCCTTTGTGAAACACAAATCATCATCTTTGGAATCCTTTAAGACACCTTTTATGGTTGATAGAGGAGATTCAAGTGTATTGTTGATCTTCAGACGCTCCAGAATTTCTAGGGGATCTTGTTGGTTGGCAGAGCTGTTGCGCCTGGCCACCATTACTCTCCTGAATATTTTCGAATGGATTGAATTCTGGGACACTAGTGGATTCTTCATCTTGATTAATCCTTTGCAGAATCACATCCATATTTTCACTTCCTGCACATTCAGAATAAGATTGTAAGTTCAAGGACACAATAGTTTCCTCAAGTATCAGAAGATTGTCATTATCATGAATCAGAACTACATCACCACTATGAGAGTTGGAAGATTCCTTTATGGACTTCTGCCACGCATCTCCACTTCAGATCTTGAATCCATAAACCCCATTCCTGCACCTTCAACATACAGGAAGGATGATAAGTATTGGTAGCCTTGAGCTGCTTCACCTAGTCTAAAAAAAGTAGATTTTAATTGACAAAGAAGTTTTGGCAGTTGTATTTCTTCCAGTTACTCTAGCAAGCGCTGTTACAAAAGATGTTTTTATACTTTCATATAATTTACTATGAAAAACAGATTGCCCAATCTCTTACCAAAATGATGTGAAGGTGCTGTATCAGCTGCATTCTAATTTCATTACCAACAAATTTGGATAGAAGTTGTTTAAGTTGTGCAAACAACTAAATGATATTAGTTCTGCACTTACCCTGAGCAGTCTCTCTCAAGGGCATCATAATATAATCTCTCAAACTAGCACCATTACCACCAGAGCTTTGTATCTTGATCCGCAACACAATCAAAGTGTCCATTTGTTTATTTAGTACAGTTGCTTCATCCATCACTGCCTTTACCTTTTCCTTATAAAATGTATTGACCTTGTTGAGCTCTTCATCAAGCTTCCTAGAGAATCCAGCCTCAAGGACTGTGTCTTATACAACTGTTCAGAATCATCTTTCTGCAATCTGTTGACATCGATCACTTGGTTCTCTACATCTCCCTTATTCATGAGATGTAGCCCACTGAGAGTTCTGTGCAGAGATAATTTCTTCCTTAAGGATCTCAAGGGTGTTTCTGGTTGCATGCTTTGCTTGTATTGCAATATCTCTTGTAAAATACTTTTAAGACCATTATAATCCACATAGGCTTCTGTTCACTCAGGCACCTTTTGTTTCTTAAAGTATTTGCCAAATTTCATCTTTACGTCTCTCTACTAACAAAATTTATTGTCCTGAGGTTTTTCTAGTAAATCTTTGATTATATCTCACTTGAACATCCAGGAAATCTTAAGCTTAATAATAATAATAATAATAATAATAAAACCTTTAGCTGTGCTGCTGAATTCACAGATACCTCAACTAGAAAACTTAGCTTTAAAGAGCATGCCAATGGAACCATGAAAAAGTTATAATACCCACTAAGGAATGATCAAAATGCAAGCCAACTTTTCCTAAACTCGAAATTGGAGTTCTCTTGCCTGAGCATCAAAGAATTGTCCACCTTCTTTTGCATGGTTTTTCCATCTTCTGTCTCCTTTCTCTTAACCGGAGAACAGGATATGAATGAGCTAATCCTTTTCACCACCAAAAATACACGTCTCCTGCTGTTTCCTAGATGCGGTGGGACGATTGGGGCAACACGCGTCTTCACCTAGGCAAAAAGAGGTGATGATGTGCTAGTTTCTGCAGCATTTGATAACAGTAAATCGGCGTTCATTGGACTATTTGTGTTTTTTGGATAAATCCCAGTTGCCCATCCCATCTGTTACTTGAAATGTATTGTCATTTAGTTTTCCTTCCCCTTGCTGAAACCTTACTTATTGGCTTATGAGTCGCCTTTTTCCTAAATGACATTCAAGGTTTTAATTTCCCTTCACATCTCCTTATCTTGATAGCTAATCTTCATTTTATTTAAGCTACTGAAAAGGATACTGAACGCTGTGGCAAGTAATTCATCAACATTAGCATACCATCAGGTTTGAAAGAACCTGCCTGGAAAGGCTGCAAATAATGACATCAAAATTATAAAATGTTGAGAATCCCTAACCAAGATTCCACTTGGGAATTAAGCTAATTGGAAGTAGATTTTCCTTCTTGTAACATTGAGGCAGAACATGTTATTAAAGTATCAGTCTCTGCTGGTTCTGCCGCTTGAATTGATGTTCCAGAATGGGTTGTCTGCATATCTTCTTTAATGGTAGGTTCCCTTAAATTCTAGAGCACTTGGCAAGAAAATAAAACCTGTTATGCCCATGGACTCAGCTTGGCCATCGTTTGATCTTACAGTTATGATGTTATTTTTTATTAACTGCTACTAAACCAAAAATTAGAGACTTTTTCGGTAAATGCAAATGCAATGACAAATCCCATGATGCAAATTAAGAAAATTGAATTCAATTTTATGACGGTACGTCAGTCAATAGCCCCAGATGCATCATTAACATAGGCATAAAGCAAAATATATTATTAATTGATAAGGATCAAACTTAGTAAATTCTAGATTTCTATAACAAATTCTTGATACATGAAATCCTTACAATGTTTTACTCAAAAAAATTGGAAAACTACTTATTTATCTCTGTTAGCACACTAACAGAACAAACAACATGCTTAACTGGATGAATCACCTTGTTCACTGGTCTGTCCTCGATCTCCACCGCAACAGAAGAAGTGTGGCAGCTTAACACGACCACAGCTCCTGCAATAAAGCTATGGATTGTAACTACAAATATGTTGATTTTAGCTATGACAAATTTATTTGTTTTGTAGGAAGATCATGAAGGGCACATGTTTTAAAATGTAAGAAAAATCCTATGAGTATTCCATTCAATTCAATCTCTTTTAGCTCAGGGCTTTCAAATAATGACAGGGTTTGACCTGGCATTACCATTTTCTTATCATGCATTATAGGTATGTGTAAAGCATTATAGCTAAGCCTTGTTGATGTGCATATGGGAGGAATGAGAGAGAAGCAAAATATTTGGATGCAAAGCTCCAATAATCAGTGAGCTGCCATTCCTATTAAGATATCTAAGTTTCTTTTCCTCTGAGCTGCTACAACCCATTTAACAGGTTTAAAGAGCAAGTCATAAACTCCCTACAAAGTTTATACACCAAGGTTTCAAAAGCATGGAACAAATGTACCAAGTATGTTCCTGACCAAGCAAGGATTGAACATTTACAAAATGATGAACATCTACTGCTACATAACCAATGGAAACACAAAGCCAATAAATGTTTGATGAAAAAAAAAACAACTGACCTAAACTAAACTTTGTTCATTACTAATTCAGGCAATTACCAAGACAAATATGAAACAAGAATTGATAAACTAAAAACACTTACTTGCATCTTATAATCACCGGAACAGGTTTCAAAGCCTTGGGTCCATTTCTTATTCCTCTCTTATGGCGACTCACCTGCAAAATAAATAAAACTTTTTTTTTTTGGACATGTAAAAAAAAAAAAAGATACAAACTTTACTGCTTGAAGAAACTTTGAAAAAAATATATCTTTACTTTCTTCTTTGGAACAGCCATGAGCTCCATGGATCCTCCAAAGTGGAAACTTGGTAACCCAAACCCAAACCCTACGTCGTTTTCACTGTTGCTGTCGAGAATTTGATCAGACTCGGGCAAAACCAACGGTTGTGATGCGGTGGGCTGACTGATGGGAGCATCCAACGGTGGAGGGAGTGCTGAAGCATGAAGCCATCTCCTCAGCCTCAAAAGTGCACCGGAGTCTGCGCCGGTGCATTTCAGTATCGCTAGTCTCGACGCCATTTTTAGATTAGACAGTGGAGGTGTACTACCTCCGTTTAGGTCTTTTGGTTAAAAGTGAGCGGAAGAAAGAGTTTACATCAGAAACGACGACGTTTTCCCGACCCAAGGAAAATACAGTTTGGGTTGGGCTAAGATTCAGATTAAATGGATTTGGGCTTCATGGGTAATGGCAGAACCGCAAATACAACAATCTAAGCCACGTTTACGTTTGACCGTGGCACACCCTTACCAAGCATTTGATTATGTTTTATAATTTCTTTTAGAAAAAAAAATTTAGGAACAAAGGAGATTATCTAATTTTTAAGATCAGGATAAATCATTAATTTATAGTTGAAATTTATAAATTTTTAAAAATTTTTTAAATTTAAAAATAATGTATAAAAAAAAATCATAAAATTCAAATCTTAAATCTTAATCCATTGTGTCAATAATATACGGTATTATTTCACTTCACCTTTTATTTTGCACAAAATCCAAGAAAAAATATTTTGGTATAAGTTCAATTGTGTTTGATTTTGATAGTTTGCTAGACTGATGCGTATTTCATGTGTAACTGTGAAGCTACCTTAATATGTAGAATTTTAGGTAAATATACTTATTTTTCTGTTTAAGGTTTGAGAGATTAAGGTTCTAAATGCTTGTGAGAGTTCACAAATCAACCCTTAGAACAAAATGGCCTAAAAGAAAAAAATTTACCTTGTCAATTGATATTTGAGACAATGATACCGCTTGAGTGTTGAGACATTACTTGTTCAACATTTCCTTTACTTGGTATAATGTCAGTCTTTATTTCCACCATTGAACATCTTGTTTCCTTCTGTAGTTTGAAAAGAAACTACGGTCATGATTATCCTGGCCGAAAGATTGAAAAGAGAAAGGTAAAGGAAGATTTGGCTCATAATCCTAAGCATATGTTTCTTGAGAAGGAGGGAAATAATATCAATCCTCTTTATATCTGGATCACTAAAGAATAAAGATTTAACTTAAAGATCATTCTTCACTGCACGCTTTCACTGTTCATGTTTGGAAAGAGAGAAAGGCCAAAAAAGATAGAAAATCCAAGTTATATGGGCGCCAAAAGGCATTCAAAGAAGGGTTTCAAACCAAAATCATGAATAAAGTTTCAAAGTTAGTGAAATTAAGAGACTTTTAACTCTAATCAATCAAAAAAGGGTTTGGATTTTTCGTTCTTAATTTGCTATAAGAAACGTATTGCATAGCTATATATATTTTTTTCTAGTTAATCATTTGAGCTTCACTATGGCTTCAGCCATTTCTTCAATTTTAGCTGAGGAGAAAACGGCAAGGTTACTTTTTCTTTCTTTAAATGGAGGGCAGGGGACCCTCTGTCTCTATCTAAAGTTCATTCAACGTGTCGCAGTGTAATTGCTTAGTAATCCACCAAGCATAGCTTATCTAATCCGTTAAGAATTCTCCAGCCATGGAAGGTGCATCAGCTGCTGCTATATCTGCAACCATGAAAGCCGTCAATTTCCCAGCAACTTCCTCTATCCCAAGAACAACTGTTTCTATTACCTTTGCCTCACCATGGCCACATACCAAACTCAACATGCTCACTTTTTATGCTCCAAATCCTAATACAAGATTCAGCGCACTCTCTACCGGTCGCTGTTCCACAAAACCAAACGCTGACACTAACAACGAAACTGACCAAAATTCAACCTTTGAATCTAATCCATATCTAAACACTGAAAACTCGTCGACAGCTATTTCAAATGAAGCAATTTCCTCTTCTTCAATACCCTCTTCTTCTCTTTCTAGAGGTTTGGTGCTTGATTTGGGTCCTGTGGGTTCTTGGGACTGCAAAGAAATTGGATCACCTGTGGTTAAAAGATTCCTCAGTGATGAGGAAGAGAGATGGTATATGTGGTATCATGGAGTTTCCAGTGGTATTCCATGTTCAGATTCCATAGGACTAGCAGTTTCAAGCAATGGGGTACGTTGGGAGAGAGGTAAAGGTGCAGTAAAATCAAGTGTAGACGTTGGTTCGGTGATGAATTGTGGTAATGATTGGTGGGCGTTTGATACTGAGAGCATTTTCCCTGGTGAGGTAGTAATCATGTCTAGTGCTAAAGTGAGAGCCTCAAGTGCTGTTTATTGGCTTTACTACACCGGATATAGCAGTGAGAAGGTGAATATTTTAGCTAATTCTTCAGGATTTAATGTACAAAACCCAGAAAGATATTGTGTTGATGACACTGACAGTCAAAGTAGCAGAATTGGCAAGATCTTTCGGTCTTTACCAGGTTTGGCAATCAGTCAAGATGGGAGGCATTGGGCTAGAATTGAAGGGGAGCATCATAGTGGAGCATTGTTCGATGTGGGGTCTGAGGGAGAATGGGATTCATTGTTTGTCGCATCACCGCAAGTTGTTTTCCATGGAAATGGTGATCTCAGAATGTACTATCATTCATTTGATGTGGAAAACGGGGAATTTTGCATTGGCATTGCAAGGTCAAGAGATGGGATGAAGTGGATAAAGCTGGGGAAGATAATGGGAGGAGGAAAAAGTGGTAGATTTGATGAACTTGGAGCAATGAATCCTTGTGTAGTCAAGAACAAGAAAGATGGAAAGTATATAATGGCATATGAAGGTGCAGATGCCGATGGACGGCGAAGCATTGGATTGGCAGTGTCACCTGATGGATTGAAAGATTGGAGAAGGCTTCAAAATGAGTCAGTGCTAAAGCCAGCAGCGATGGACGATGGATGGGATAGTAAGGGGATTGGATCACCTTGTTTGGTGGAAATGGATGGTGATGTTGATGAATGGAGATTGTATTACAGAGGCCTTGGTAATGGAGGGAGAAGTGGGATTGGCATGGCAGTTTCTGATGGAAGTGATATTACAAGGTTTAGAAGATGGACGGGATTTCAAGTATAAGTTAAATTTCTGTGTGTTGTTGCTACCATTCTCTGTCCTAATTTGATTGCTGATTTTATAAGATTATTGTTGTGAACATGTAATAGGATTACAAGAATCACTTGATGGCTGTTTTCTGTTCACAGTTGTTGAACTGAGCTGATCAATTCAAACAAATTCAATCAATGGCATATTATAATTATTGAATATAAAACTAAGAGGAAACAGAGAAAGAAAAAAATGGCACAAACCAACCAAAGTAGTTTAATTTTTCTGCAATTATTGCAGCTTTACGGGCGTTACCATGACTCTACAGCACAAATTGAACAGGGCAATGACAAGACACTCCACTTTGCAATATTACTTCTTCCTTACTGTCATGCTCCCTTAACCACTTTCTGCTCATTTTTGTCAATTCTGCTGGCTTGACTCTGTCCATAGCTTCATAACTACTTTCTGACATAATTAATGAGGCAAACTCAGGAATCTGATAGATAACACACTAAAAAATAATAGAATCCTGATGAATGCAGGCAGCTGGTCCGCAAGTGGCAAATTGGTGACCATGTAATTGAGTAGTCGTATCTATGCTAATTGGATTGCAGAAGGGATTTTTGCCGCAACATCACGTGGTTTCGAGAATTCAATGTATCTGCCATCTAAACGAAGCACGGAATCGTACCTGCATGTTAGAATTGAAGCATGGAACTGTTGAAATATTAAAGAATAATATCTTATTTTGATCCTTAAATTATTATACATTTTTAATATAATACCTCAACAAAAAATTTTTTAGTTAGATATTTAAATTATATTTTTGTATATTAAATTATCACAATTCTTTAACATCATTAAAATAGCATTAATTTAGCATTTAAATACTGATATAAATGATATCTGACTATCATATAATTATCACTTATTATTTTTAAATAATAAAAAAAGTTTTAAAATATAATTTTTTTTAAAAAATTTTATTATTTTTTATTTTTTACAAATGATATGCGATAATCATGTATAATTCACGTTAATATTTAAATATCACATCATTATTATTTTAACAATGCTAAAGGGTTGGAGTAATTTAATACATAAAATTAAAGTTTAAGTACATAATTAAAATTTTTTTTAATTTAAATATCACGTTAAAAAAATTATAATAATTCAAGAGTCAAATGAAGTATTATCTTAAATATTACAATAATTTAGGTACCATAAAAGCGTGCCTCCATAATTTGTTTGTAATTTGTCAAACGAGAATATATGATAAATTATTTTCAATTATAACATTTTTTTTGTTAAGATTTGCAATTTTAGTTTAAAGAAGAGAATTTGAATTTAAGGTTCTTTTTTATTTTTTGAAATTAAATTTGATGTCATGAATTAAGTTATAGAAATTAAATTTAGTTGGTGAAGTTATTAAAACATAATTATAAATTTTTTAAATGAAAGAAATAAATATCATTCAATCTTTCAAAAAGTGAATATTTTTAATTTTGTTATTTAAATTTCACTGCTTTTAATTTTTCCACATATAACTTAAAAAAAAAAACTTTTTTTTTTTCCATTTTTCTAGGTAATTTCACCACTTCTTTCTTCATCCATCTATATATTTCCCCTATTTTTTTCCCTCCTTCACCCAAGTAATGAATGTGTGCAAAAGTCAAAATTTATAATCCCATAATACCAATTTCTTATCATGGCCCAACCATGCAAAACCTTAACTTCCAAATAATTTCCTAATTTGGTCATACAATTGACTAGAAAAAAAAATGGAAATAGGCAAATAGCAAAATGGATACTTATTTATAAGAATGGTAACGGATATTCACTATTTTTAAAATATCTGTATCTAAATTTATTTAATATTTATAGTATCCAAATTTGTTTAATATTTGTTTAAGTTAGACACTATCCAAATTCGAATTTATTTAAATAAGTATTATTCATTAAAATATTCAAATTCATTAAAATATTCATTTATTTAAAATTTTTATCAAAATATAAAATAGAAAAAAATTTAACTTAAAATTTGAAATTACTTTTAAGATTATTTATTGAGATTCAAAATAACTTTTCACAAATATAAAATTTTATATATTTTACATATATAAATGAGTAACGGATTCGGATTTGGATATTCGTTACTATTAATTAAAATTTAAACAGATTTGAATATTGGATACTCATAAAATACTATATGTATCTTATCCAAATTTGTTACGATAATAAATTTATTATTTAAATCCATTAATTATCTGTTTATAACTATCCGAAATTAACATAAACAAATTGCATAATGATAAATATTTATTTATTTACTATATATTGCCATCTTAAGCCTAATACCTACGTTCCCTAATAAATGTTTGATATTTGTTCAATGGATATCCCCTGCTCGAACGGGTAACCAAAATCATGCACCGATATATCCGAAAAATCTTCTAGGATGTTTCCTGTTGCAGCAGTCCAATGATACGTTGTATCATGCAAAGACATCGAGTTATCAAATCTTTCATTTAATTTTGGCATTTGGTAATTTGATCTGTCGTCATCCAACATTAACTCATCTTGAGCAATTCCTCCAATGCATGTATCTGAAATAACTGCTGCTGAATCAAGCTCGTTTGCTGAGCTTTCGTCGCATCCGATGACGATGGGGATCGAGTTGTTAAAGAATGTCGACCGTGGAGGCTCGAGATTGTTATTGGAGATGGCGAACATGCCAGCAGCTACGCTTTGCCATGCTTTAAGTACATCAAGGCACTGTGATCTAGCCGATGGAGCTGACGCTTTGCTACTTTTCAGTACACCATCTTGGAAGCCTCGCTTATAATTATTCTCCGGGGATGGTTTTGACATTAGTTTTTTTGATTCTCTGACGAACCTGGCTTCTGCTTCGAGCCGAGCCCTCTCCCACTGAGCCATGTGGCTCAGTGTTCCAGGGTTTCGGCCGACAGAGCTGAGGAGGTTTGATTTGGGCTTGTGGGTGGTGGGATCAATCCCCATTTTGGTAAACCTTTTCTTAATATGTGTGTTCCAGTAGTTCTTAATCTCATTGTCCGTTCGCTTGGGTAAGTGTGCTGCTATGGCGGACCACCTACACAAAATGGTAGATATATATATATATATATATATTGTTATAAATAATGATCAGAAAGAGGAAACAATTTAATGCATGCATGCACTACCATTCTACCAATTCCTTTCTTAAAATATATGCTTCTTCAACCTAAAATTACAGTCTAGTATGTAATATTAATGTTCCAATTATTACCAAACAACTACGGAATTAACAGTACTGGAAGAAGGCTTGAAGCTGAAATGCCCAAAGATCATATAAAACCAGAGATGACTAAAGAACAAAATGTAAATTAGTACTTGTTTGTTGGTTTTCCTTTCACCTGTTTCCGAGAAAAGCATGGAGTTGAATGATGGTTTGTTCTTCCTGTAAACTGAACTTTCCCCTCTTGACATCAGGTCTTAGGTAATTGATCCACCTCAGTCGACAGCTCTTCCCACATCTTTGAAGACCTTTAAGTACACAGTACACCAGCAATGCCAGACATGGAAAGAAAACGAAAATGCAAAAATGAATATGTAAAAGAGCCATATTTACAGACCAAAATTGAAAGAGATCATATATTTTCTTTGTCAAAGTTAATGCATGAAACATAGAGAATCATCACCAGCTTTCTCAGGCAAGGTACGCCAGTTCCCAAAGCCATGTTCTTCAATATAAGCTAAGAGCTTCTGGTCTTCATCTGGAGTCCATGGCCCCTTCTTCAACCCCATATTCTCGAAGCATGCAGACCGTGCCATTTGTAGCCAATAATTATCATCAAATAGCAGATTATAAGTCCTTTAATTTTTTTTAATATAAACTAGTATATATTGCTGAAAGAAATAGAGAAGAAGGACCTGGACACGGGAGAGAAAATGTATTTGGGAGGGGGACAAGTGAAGGTGAAAAGTGATTTCAGCTATTTATCGATCTACTTAGGGTTACATTTATTAGTAAGCCTGAAACTCTTGAGACTGACAATGAGTGGTCCAAAGGCTTGAAGGGACAGCCCTTAACTTCTTAACTCTCAACCCCACATCGATAGCTAGGGTAACAACTGGTCAACATTTAAACCTTTTCAATTTAAAGTGACACCGAAAAATAATATGGCAAACGTAAATCAATGGCAACCATTCGGAGATTTATCATGATCCAACTAAGAATTATACATGGCTACTATGGAAAATGAATAAACAAAATGGGTACTTCACTTCAACCTGTTGCATGCTTGGTGGTTCATCAGTGGATTCCCTACTCAATTTACCCATATGCACCTCATTGGTCGACCCAAAATTAGTTAATTAGTGGCAGCGGTTTAATTTTTCCAATTTCATGTCTACAATTATTGTCTCCTTTGTTTCTGTACTTTCTGCAGTAGCTTTCCGGTGGATTATATAAATGAGGCTCATAAAAATTTGTACAAAAGTCGAGTTCTATAACTAATATATTATCAGGAAAAATAAGTAATTTTATAAAAAGGTTTGTGTTAGCATGTTTCTTATAAGTATTTGATAAGATTGATTAAAATTTTATTTAAAAATAACATTCCATTAATGTAAATTTTCATAAAAAATTGAATACATTAATTATTAATTTTGTTTGTATAAAGTTCTCTCTCTATATATATTATAATTTATATGGGTCTTCAGCACATTAATTTGAGAAGAACCACACTCAATTGAGAATGAGATGAAGTTCATTGGCATCCCTCATCACCAAATTAAGTATTAAAAAACCAAAACTAAAATTATTATAAGTGTATGCAATCTTATTCATTTCTAAGTACTACAACTTTGGCCCTGTCTGGATTAGTGAATTTTATCATCAAAGAACACAAGCCATGGGCTAAAAAAATGCTGCCCTATAGACAGGCATGCAGGGCACAATTTCATGCATTGTGTAAATCATAATTATCACAACTACCAACACTGCTTACATTAAAGGAGGTGACACAGATCTTGTCAGTTCGATTCTATCTCTTTCAACGCCACAGCCTGCAGCCCAGTGGTTTGTCCTTTTTTATTGTTTACATATTTATTTATAAGTGATGGTATCATAATTAAATTTGTAAAGATATGTAATAACTTATAAGGTAATATTTATTTTTATAAAAAAGTTTTATGATTTTATTTTATAAAAGATATTTTAAAATTATGAATTAAATTTATATATATTATATTATATTTTTATATTCTAGTGTGTCATAATTTTTTTAGTTAAACTTAACATAAAATACTCGTAAATTTATAAAATTAAGATTATATTAAATATCGAAATTTTAAAAATAACTCTTATTATGTAACATTTAATTTTTTAAGGATTTTAAAAGTAATTTTTATGATATAATATTTAACTTTCGTCTAACTGATTATCATTTTGATATCATTGGTGATGATTCATATCCAACTTACGAAATATTATTCATTTTGATCTAAAAATTTTATAATTTTATCTCATAAAAAATATTTCATAAATATAAATTTTGATATATATATATATCATATTATATCATTATATTCTTTCAACACAGGATTGAGGTCTCGTAAAATCATCAATTTTTTTTAATAATTTTCAAGTTAAATCACTTCAGCTGTTGATAATTTATAATTAGTTTTAGTAATTGGGTTGTTGAGAAGTGAGATTTTCTTGGATGGAATGGAATGAAAATCTTTTCACTTTGCAGCCAATAGAAGAAGTTACTTTAATTTTATAATAATAATGTACTCCAAGTGTCAACATCGATATTGTCATCCGTCGATCAAGGTCTCAACGGCAGCATTCAAGATTTTGGTTCTCTTTATGTGGAGACAAATCGGGTTAATTATACACTAGACAGCAGCTGCTGCAACAGAACAATTATTCAGTTTTATTAAAGCAATAACATGGTCCAATTCCCACTTCCGCATGCTTGCTGAATCTGATCAGAGCCTTACCAAATTGTTTCTGCTGGATCTTGGTCCATAGAATTGTTCTGACGTATTTCCACAGCAATTGGTCTATTATGCCCATATTAAATACTACTACAATATATCGACAAAAGATTTAGACGAAGATATTCAAGTAAAGTTGGTAAAGTTTTTAATTAAAAATAATTAAATTAAATTAGAAATTAAAAATTAAACTTGATGAATTGAAAGATTTTATTATATAAGTTAAATATACAAAATTTAAAAATTTTTAATTAATTTTGATATATATTATTATATAGATATTTTTAATAAAAATATTGACATAATTTTTACTGTTAAATAAATATCGATTAAATTTAAATTATAAATAATATTTTAAATAATTTTTTATATATTATTGATCTTCATATTAAACTTTACCAATTTATCGATTTTAATTTTTAATTAAAATTTTTATTAAATCATTTTTTTTTAAATTTAACAAACTTTATCTATAAAATTTCATATAAGTTTTCTCATGATACATCACCATCTGGATTAATTTTTTTTCTTTTGGTTTTCAATGCATTGAAACTATGACATTAATCTTGTACTATAAATAGTATGTTAACCAATCTTTATGTTATAATGACACACGTCAGTAAATTTCACGAGTAATTTATATATTCATGTGGTACCAACGGCCCAACAGATTGAATATTTTGGCCCAGGTAGTCCCATTGGAATAAATTACTAGTACTGAATTCGGGACTGGGGTGGGGTAAACAAAAAAACCCTAAAAAATTAAGCGCCTTCATTAATTAGAATCAATATGTGAACCGCAAGACATTTCTATCTGTATACACCAAAAAAGACATCTATGCTTGTGTGATTTTTGAGGAAATAGTACAAATTATAAGGAATTGTGAGATGTTATAGTTAAGGGCTACAGTGAAATGCATTAACCTCTTTGATTGTGGCCTTCCATTAATACATTGAATCACTTTACCGTGCACTAGTACGAATATTCGAATTGTATGTTAGCTTTTATAAATGAAGTCATATCTTAAGAAAAAAATTATAGATGCTGAAACACTTTTACAATGATTATATGAATAAGTTAAATTATAAATCAATTAAATACGTTGTGATTTTATTGATCAAGAAATTTTTTTTTCAAAACTTATTCATTTCATATAAGAAAACAAGAGTAATACAAATGAAATATTTTGTCATTTAAAGATCATTTGGAAGCACGGTGAAAATGGGTGAGAAGGATTTTCACTATACGTGTTGAAATTATATTACCTTTTGGGGTGATTATTGTGTTGGTACTCAATCTACTTAGCTATTTAGAGTTAAATCATCAATATGAGCCTTTTGATGAAGATCAACTTGATATGATATAGAACTCGATGCGAAGGTATGTAGGTCGAGTACGTGTTTGAAGACAAATAAACATGTAGACAATGTTTAAGTCATAACGGGTACTCATTGTTTAAAACGCTTCCAAATTAATATATAGTATCATGTATGCCATAACCATCAGTCACCCGTTGTTGGCCACTTCAACCATGATCAAACCTTGAAAGCTAGGAGTAATTATGATCTTCGCTAACTTAATTTCGTGAGAATTAACCCCATTCCGATGAAAGAATTAGTAGTTGAAAGTGATTCGATTGTTGTTACCTCCTGGCTAAAGAAAATCAGTGATATATACAACGCGATTATTAACAGACTTCTCAACTTCTTAGCAGGCATAGAAAAAATTTTCTTTTGTTCATATATATATAGGAAAGCTAGCTAATTTTGCAGATTCTTTTACTAAGGTGTGTTTCGCGATCATGACTTGGTTGCCTGGCTATAATTTGTATCCATCTTCTCAATAAAATTTTGCTTCAATTTTCAAAAAAAAAATTCATGAGAACTATAACGGAATTTTGACATGATTTAACTTCGATCACAAGATTTTGATGCATAATTATCACTATTAGCAGTGAAGATCTTGCACGACAAACACACAGGAGGTATTAATAAGTTAAAATCTTTGCCCCCAAAGTGGCTTTGTTTCTTCAGAGATAGTATAATTATATTCGGAGAATAATAATTTTACTCTCCAAAATCATGCATTAATTCGCCTACTGTTGTTTTAATTTAAAATAAAAAAGAATAATATAAACCTTGTTTGAGTTACATGGTCGAACATGCATGTTCCAACATTTATATTCTTGTACCTACTTCTTCCATGTCCATAACTAGTACTATTTGCATTAGTAGTATTTTCATAAAATGGATTTCTATTAGATTATTTAGATAAGTATTTATTATCCAAGAAACAATAATCACTGTTACAAGCACCAAGTACAATAATGTCTCACTTCCTATACAATAATATCTCTACTGAATTTCTTATTATTATATCTCAATTTAATTCCCATTATTCTCTCAAATTTTGATTTATTCGATCATTAACTATATTGCTTATTCCTACTAATCTTAGCTTTACTACATTTCTGATCTGCTTCACTATCAGTCCACCTACCATTTCCTCTTAATTGTAGAGTCTCTTATTCCTTTTTGCCCAGAGCATATATATGTAGGCTCCCCAAGCTAGCCTCAGCTATTGGAGGATCATAATGTGTGCTTCAGGGGGCCTTGGTCCCCCAAAATTTTTTGAAACCATTTCGGGAGTGTGTGTGTGTGTGTGTGTGTGTGTGTGTGTGTGTGTGTGTGTGTGTGTGTGTGTGTGTGTGTGTGTGTGTGTGTGTGTGTGTGTGTGTGTGTGTGTGTGTGTGTGTGTGTGTGTGTGTGTGTGTGTGTGTGTGTGTGTGTGTGTGTGTGTGTGTGTGGTTAACTAAATTTAAATCGAC